TTTTTTTTTTTTTTTTTTGGCCAGGGCTGGCCTTGAACCTGCCACCCTTGGCATATGGGGCCAGCACCCTACTCCTGATTGGATTGTTGAGACAGACCCAGCCTCTCCCTTTGAAGCTTAGAGTCTAGTGGAGGGGGGGAGATGGTCATAACCAAACACACAGTTTAGATAAGAGCTCAGAGGGAGAGTGCTTTAACTGCCTAAAATAGTGAATTTGATGGAAATGGAAGCCAGGGCACACTGTACTTCTGTGGGAGGAGTTAGCAATTTGCAAACAAGTCTCCCAATTCCTTAAGTACTTTTCCAGTGGAGAGGTGGGTCTATGTCCACTTTCCCCTTGGATTTTGGCTGTGTGACTGAATGTCCTAATAGCATGTGTCAGAGTGGTAGGATGCCAGGCTCCAGGAACTCTTCTTCCTGTGCCCTGAGATGCTCAGAGCTGCCACATTGTGAGGAAGTTGGCAGCCTGTGAAGAGGACACAGGGAGAGGAACAAAGCTCACAAGCTCCAGCTTGCCACCCTACCACCTGTGGGAGTGAGCCATCTTGGAGATAGATCCTTCAAGCTGCCTCGGCTAATGTTGTATGGAGCAGAGACAATTCTTTTCCTCTGAGCCCTACTCGAATTGCAGATTTATGAGAGAGAGAGAAATGTTTGTTATCTTGATTGAATGAGTTTTAGAGTGGGTATTTATGGCAATAGGAACCGTAACAAAAGTATATACTGAGTTGAGAAATGAAGGTTGACTGGGAATGGAAGAGGGAAAAGTCTTTTAGCCAGAAGAAATAGCAGGTGCAAAAAGCCTGTGGTGGGAAGCATGCCATGAGTGGGAAAGGAGGGGGGTGTGGCTGAGACACAGGGAGCCAGAGGAGGCTGTGACTGGGGCTGGAGAAGCTAGCTACGGGCTGCTGCCATCAAGGATCTTGGACCCCCCCCTCCCCCCGCTCAGACTTTTGTCTTTGTCCTGAGAGGAATGGCAACCATGGAGGCTGGTGAGCTGGGAGTAATTTATATTTTGAAAAGATCACTCTGACTTAGGATGGGGAATGGGATGGAGGGGGTTGATGGAGGGGATGATGAGAATTTGAAAATAATCCTGGGATCACAGAGTTAACCAAATGATAGGACTGGATTTTAAGTCCTCTGAATGTCATTTCCACTGACTCTTGATTCAGCCCCAGAGCTAGGGAAACCACAGAGACATGGCTGGACCCTTCTTAGAGGTTAACCATGTCTCCCTGTGGCCTAAGAGGTGTGGAAATTAACCCAGATTTTATATCCTTAATCTCTTATTTTGTGTCTTTTCTCAGCCACAATAATAAAACAAATTCTACCTGGTTTTTTCCCTCCCAGCTTTTCAGCTGAATCTGCAGCTGAAAAACGAGGTCAGTGAGTAGAGTGGGAAAGACTGTTTACAGGGAGAAATCTTTTAGGACATGCTTGATTTTTTTTTCTCTCTCTGTCTAGTCTAGTTTGTCATCCTTAAAAGTTTTGTCTGAAAGAACTTATTCTAGTCTTAGATCCAGAGTGGGTGTGTGTAGGGGGGTAGGCGGGTGGGGAACAATCTCTTTTGCTTTTGTAATACATGGGATCAAATACTTTGTTAAAAATATTTATAAATGAATGCTTGTATTTTTGATACTTTTGTGATAAGGGTTATATCTATAGAAGTATAGCTCTTAGATGTGAGATGCATGTTAGCCTTAAGATTTTCAGCCATAAATTTAAGGATTTTAGGTAATCGAGGCCTAGAAAGACCAAACTCACTTTATCGCATAATAATAGCTAAGAATTGCCCAGCATGTTTTATGTTTTAGACTCCGTGTTGAGTATTATTTCATTTACTCCATATGACCAACTTGGAAGCTTGGTACCATTAATATGGACAAAGAAAAGGAGGGCTCAGAGGGGCAGGGACTTAACAAAGTTAAGCAGTTGTATGGGGGGATTGTCAGAATCCCCATACAACTTGAAGCCAAGTCCTGGCCTCCTCTAAGGCTTGTCTTAACTACTACACTGTCTTGATATAGGCAATCCCCTAATGCTATTTTGTAAGAGTCTCCCACCCCTGAAATGGATGGCTCTGTTGCAGTAATAGCTTCCAGTTTTATTTTAATAACCAGCCTTGTACAGCTCATAGAATCCACCAGATAAGACATAACCAAGCCGATGTCTACAAAAGGAGCAATCTCATGCATATTTAAACTTATGAAACTTTAAACAAACCATGTCTCACACACTGAAACATGGAATGGAGAGGGGAGAATTGTGTCCATGACCATGGATTAAAAACACCATCTAAACAACTGGAATGTTACACCTGGACCATTTAAATAGGCACAAGGACATCTTTAATAGTTGCTCTCCTTCCCCAAGTCGAATCTGCCTGTTAATGTAAGCCTAGCTTATATTAGCAAAAAAAAAAAAAAAAAAAAAGCCATGAGTTTATTCCAGGGAAAGGCTGCCAGCTGGCTGATGTCAGTAGGACTCTACGAGTGACCGAGTGACCTTGGGCTCAGGCTAAAAGACAGAACTTGTGCTGAGCCCTTGGGACCCTCGTGGAAACACTGAGCGTCCTTCTCTGTATCATGTACCCCTTCAAGCCCTGATGAGGACATTTGAATAGTTCTGACTCTAAAAAAGAATCTGACTTTTGGCAAAAGACAACACAGTCTCACCCCCTTCTTTTCTTGCCTGGACCCTCCTAGCCAGACATGCCCGTTGCAGCAATTTTTCGTGGGCTGAGATTGATGGTGTCTTTTAAACATGCCTCTCTTTGTCGCCCAGGTGATTCCCTTTCAGCATCGAAGAACTTCCTCAGAAGTCATACCCCTGGGGATTCTTTCCAGGTTCTCATTCCACCCTGAACAGGAGGGGATGGGCCCTGCGGGGCACGTTAGTGTGTTCCCACATGATACTTTGCTGTGCTGCTGGCTGCGGTAGGGGCTCTCCCTTCACCCTTTTCATATCTCCAGGCCACCAGAAGGCCTTCGGCATATAGTGGTTAGTTGTGCAACAAGAATGGGGCTGAATCGAGGCAGTCTTCTTTCTCTACAAACTTGCTTTGCAACTGATTGAGATTTATCTGAAGGTCCAAGACTCAATGCACTAGAGACCACTGACATCATCATGAGGATCTCAGGGGAAAGAGAAGAATGGATTTACTTCTCACTCCATGAGGCAGAACCTCATAAAAACCTGTCGCAAAATCTTGTTTTTTTCCCTCCAATGGCTGCCTTTCCTCTTCTCTCTCTTCTGAAGGGTCCCCTCTGCTCACCCTCCCAGCCAGTCTTCTGCATGTCACCTGTCTCCTAAGTGGATCAGGTTAGTTGTATTGAATGCATCATATTCTCCCTGCTTAATAAAAAAAAAAAAAAAGAAAAAGGAAAAAAGGTTCCTCCTCAGGGTATCCACTCCTTAAAAAGGCAAGAAGGAGAGATCGCAAATCATAAGTATTTTCTCTCATCTTAGTATAAATAAAAGAGTTCATAAACGAATATGCAAATATCAGGCTAGCTTTATTAGACAAACCCTTTGGGTACAAAATACCAAAATGGTGGACAAAATAGCAAAAAAAGAAAAAAAATCTTAGAAGTGGCAAGAAACTGACCAAGGCGGGGCATGGGAATCTCTAGGCCGACAATGAAGAGAGAATGGAAGCCAGAGAGGTAACCAGTTCTTTGGGCCTAAGGATATTTGCCTATTCTGAGTTAACTTTTCTTATAATAGCTTCACAGGGAACAAAACGGGCACACAAATCATAGCCTGGGGTCCACACAAATGAGAATTCAAAGAGGAGACCCCTCCCACAATAACCTGGGTTCCCTAGGGCCACACTTCAGGAGAGGGCTGCCTGGGGATATACCTGCCTCCATGTGGTCTCGCAGTCTGGGTTCTCATCCATCACCTGGACCCTTGAGCTTTAAAGAGGTCCCTAATAAGTGTCCAGTCCTCCCACCCACTCCAAACTTCAGGGTGTCTTGGACCAGAACCCCTATTCTATTTTAAATTTTTTAAAAATTTAGTCAAAAATTACAGAACATACAGTTAACTATTTTAAAAGGTAAAATTAAGTAGCATTTAGTACAAGGAGCTGCCTGGGCTGAAATCCAGGAGGTAGCAGGAGAGGGCAGCATTTAAGCTGGGCATTTGGTGGTAAGGAGAACTTGAAGTGGAAGAAGATGTGAGGACAGATTTTTAAGGCCCAAGGAGCAGCATGGAGAAAGGTCTGGGAAGGAGGGAAAGAGGCACATTTGGGGACCAGAAAGATTTCTCATGTACCTCTTCATGTAGATCTTAGCATGGAATATGAGGACAGACATAGAAGATATTCCACTAAATGCCAGAAGGTGAGGCTGGAAGGTAGGTGGCACTAGACGAAAGCAGTGGCTCCCAGCCATTTTGGCACCAGGGATCATTTTTATGGAAGACAAATTTTCACATGGACTGGGGGCTGGGAGGATGTTTGGGGGATGATTCAAGTGCACTAAATCTCCACCTCAGATCACAGGCATTAGATTCTCATAAGGACCTTGCAACCTAGATCCCTCGCATGTGTAGTTTGCAGAAGGGTTCACACTCCTCTGAGAATCTAACGCTGGTGCTGGTGTGACAGGAGGTGGAGCTCAAGCAGTGGTAAGTGTACAGATGAACCTTCATTCACTTGCTGGCTGCCCACATCCTGTTATGTGGCCCAGTCCCCAGCAGGCCAGGGACCAGTACCAGCCCACGGCTGTTGGGTTGGGGACGGCAGGACTAAAGAAGGTGTTAGACTTCAGGCTGAGAAGTGGCTCCTGCTCTGGGACAGCTGACGACGCTCAGCCCAGCTCACACTCAATGGTCCTTCCCAAGACCATCAGTGCCACACCTGCTGGGTCCACTTACCTCAACAAGGTGTCTCTGTAGTGGATTTCCGACATCTTTTTGGCTGGTTGGAATTTATTTATTTCTTCCTCTTTCAGTTTCTGAAGTTGTTGTTGCCTCTTTTTCAGCACACTCTCCTCCCTCAGCATGGCAAAATAGCCACGGCCTATCTTCACGGACTGGATCAAGATGCTAGAGAGAGGAAGGGAGA